TAACATGGATAATGATAGGGCAGGCATATACAACAAGAGGGAGGTTAACAGAGGAAAGATTAAGGTAGTGGAAGACTCAGGGCAGAATGCAATAATAAAAGTCAATAGAAGTAAATGCTGTTAACTGTTGGTACATAGATGGGATTGTAATCATGTAATGAAGCAAAGTATATGATTTGTTGAATGTAAAACTTAATCTGCTCTGTAGACCTTCACTCAATTCACAATAAAAAGCTTTTTAAAAATAATTTTAAAAAAGCACTGGACTGCTAATCAGAAGGTTGTCAGTTCAAAACCACCAGGAGAAACATGAGACTTTCTGCTCCTGTAAGATTTACAGCCTCAGAAACAATATACAGAAAATCTTAATATTGCTATGAGTTGGAATCAACACAATGGCAGTGGATTTATGAATAATGTAACCTTACATTGTCAAAGAGAATTAAAGTTATAGATGAAATTAGATTTGTCAATCAGCTGACCTTAAGAAAGGGAGATTTTCTTAAGGGATACCCAATTACAAGGTCCTAAACAGCAGAAAAACAGAAAAGAAGGGAGTCAGAGAAACAAATGTAAGAACAAAAGCAGGAACAGAGTGGTATAATGTGATAAGGACTCAAACTACTCTTACTAGATTTGAAGATTAAGAAAGGGGATGATGAGCCAATGAATCTAGGAGAGGCAAGAAAACAGATTTTCCCACTGAGCTTTAAAAAGGGAACACAACCCGTCTGATACCTTAATTTAGCCCTGTGTCAGACATCTAACCTACAGAACTATTAGGGAATAAATCTGTTTGGCAATAAATATTGGTGATGGTTGCACAATATGATTAATATAACTGGTGTCACTAAATTGTACACATAAAATACATTAACCTGGCAAATAGGTGATATATATTTAAAAAAAAAAAAAAAAAGAAAGGATAAATGTGCTGTTTTAAGCCATTAAATTTGAAATAATACAGCTGCAAACAAAAAATAATGCATATTGTGGTACCATAAGTGGCGTGCTGACAAAAAAGGAAGTAGCTTTGGAATTAGAAAGAGAGAAAAGAAAAAGATTTAGGAGCATGAAAGAAAAAAGCCGAGAATGACTTGAAGAGCCTGTTGACAGATCTATGGATGCTGTTTTGGTGAATATATGGAGAAATCGAAACCCTTATACACTGCTGGTAAGAATGTTACATAGTGCAGCCATTTTGGAAAACAATCTGACAGTTTCTCAAAATGTTAAACATTGAGTGACCACATTTACTGCCATACAGTATATTCAGATTCAGTGACCCTACGTTGTTGTTTTGTTGTTAAGTCCCGTTGAGTCTATTGACCCAGAGTGACTCTGTATAGGCTTTCCATGGAGCAGCTGGTGAGCTTGAACTGCCAACCTTGCAGTTCAAACAGCTTTGCAGTCTGGTGCATTCACCCACAGCGCCACACCAGGACTCCATAGTACAGAATAAAACTGCTCCGTAAGGTTTTAGAGAATATAAATCTTTAAGAGGAGACAGTATCATCTTTACCCCATGGAGCGGCTAGTAGATTTGAACCACTGACCTTGCAGCTAACGCTGACCTTGTTATATAGCTAAGAGTCCAATGCTTAACCCATTGTGCCACAAATTCTATTTTTACATATATACTCAAGAGAAATGAAACATACAAGGGAGCTTCAAAAAGGTTCATGGAAAAATTCCATTATCTTTTAATTCCATTTTTCCATGAGCTTTTTGAAGCCCACCCATACATACACAAAAAAAACCCCTTGTAAATAAATGGATGTTTATAAGAGCATTATTGATAATAACCAAAATGCAGAGACCACACAAATGCCCACCAACTGATGAACGGATAGATTAAATGTGGAATTCCCATATGATTGAATATTATTCAGAAATAAAAAGGAATAAAGTTTTGACATAAACTATAATCTTGAAAATATTTTGCTGAGTTAAGTTACAAAGGACCATGTATTATATAATTCCTTTATATAAAACATCACGAAAAGGCAAATCTATGGGGATAGAAAATAAATTAGGAATTGCCTGAGGCTGAGCGGTACTCTGTGGGTGGTTAATAGCTAAAGGGTACAGAGTTTCTTTGTGAGGAGATACACTATAAAATTGGTTGTGATGATAATGGCACAACTCTGAATATAAATCACTAAATTGTATACTTTTAAAGGTAAAATGTGTGGTACATGAATTCTATCTCAATAAAGCTATTTTTAAAAAAGGAATATGATGTTAACAATTACTACTGAGAATTCAGAAGACATTGAAGAGCATGATAGAGAACACAAGTATCACTTCACAGAACCTCTAAATTTTTCCAACAGACTTCTGGTAGAAATGTACACGTTAAAGACATTGTTCGTAAGGGCTCAGAAGGAAATAAGGAACAGGTTATTGAAAAATCAAGGGGATCCCTGTTATACAGTGGCAGAACATTTAGTGGAATTGTGTCCTGGGACACAATTTTTAGTGTGAGAAAGCAGATCTTTTGAACAATGAAATTTGACATTAGCTCAAGACCCTAGTCTTGAGAATATTTTATCAGCAGAGTAGTGTCAACATGGACTGAAAGGGATAGGAAGAGGACAAAATGAAAGAAGGCTGCTGTGCTGCCAAAATTCTACAGGCAAGAAAGAGACTGATACAACTACTCAGTTGAAAACCATATGCTGCTTTTTATGGAAAAGCAAAGGATGACTCTGAGGGTGGAGTCAAAGCCCAAAGGGCAGAGTCAAAACTCCCACATGATTATACTCAGGCCTTGAAACCAAAGTTTGCCTGGTCAGATATTGAAATTGTTTAGACCTAGTGGATCCTTTTTGCTTCTATTTTCTCCCATTTTGACTAGGAATCCTGTTATTTATTACAGGTAACTGTTATCCCATGCCTGTTCCACCACTGTATTTTGGAGGCAGATAACTTGTTTCTTGAGCTACACAGATTCACAGATGAAATGTGATCCAGGAGTACCACTCATACTTGATTTTGACTGATGAAAATTTAGACTTTTGAATTGATGAAATTTAGATATAATTTTAGATTCTGAGTTGATGCTATTGAGACTTTTGGAGACAATGAGAAAGGGTGAATGTATTTTACATGAGGGATAGACATGAATCTTTGGAAGCCAAACGGCAGTATGTGGAAGGCAAAATAATACACCTCCCCATAAAGATGTCCTTATCTTTAATCATGACAGCCTATGAATATGCTATCTTCCCCGGGAAAAAAGGACTTTGCAGGTATGATCAAACTAAGGATCTTGAGGTAGAGAGACGGTCCTGGGTTACTTGCGTGGGTCCAAAGAATCACAAAGGTCTTTAAAAGTGAGAGAGGAAGGCAGAAGGGGTCAGAGTAAGGTGACATGGGACTCTGCTGATTCTGGCTTTGAAGTTAGAGGAAGGAGGTCACAAGGCAAAGAACGTGGGTCACCTCTAGAAGCTGAAAAGGGTAAGGAAACAGGTTATCCTCTACTGTTGTTGTTAAGTGCTATCATGGAATCAGTTCTGACTCATTATCACCCTGTATAAGAGTCCTGGTGTGGCGCTGTGGGTCACTGCACTGGACTGCAGTCCTTTGAACTGCAAGCTCGGCAGTACAGGCTCACCAGCTGCTTCAAGGAAACCCTATACAGGGTAACTATGGGTTGGAACCAACTCAACGGCACTTAACAACAACAACATAGGGTTTCCAAGGCTGTAAATCTTTGTAGGAGCAGAAAGCCTCATCTTTCTCCTGTGGAGCTCAAACCACTAACCTTGTAGTTAGCAGGCCAGTGTTTGTTCTACTGAGCCATCATACTGTTTAACCTCTAAATGGAATCCTCTGAATTGGAATCCAGCCCTGGCAACACCCTGATTTTAGACTAGTGAAGCCTGTGCCAACTTTCTAACCACCTACATAGAAGTATAAAATAAAAAACCACTTATTTTATGATAACTTGTTTAACAGCAATAGAAAATGAATGCAATAGTAGTGAGCATCACCTCCATGATGTATTCTTAGATGGCTCAGAAATGTTAACAACTAGGGAAAATGTATAAAGGTATACAGGAAACTGTATGAACTATTTATATAACTTGTATGTGAATTTGAAATTATCTCAAAATAATATGTTTAATTAGTGGGAAATTACATTTTTGAATACTAGAATTTGCCAAATGGTAGTTTTCAGGACAACTTACCCTTTTAAGGCTGTTTTAGTTAAGTGGGTTCTGATTGTGATTCAGAGCAACCCGTATGTGCAGAGTAGAACTCTTTCATAAGGCTTTAAGGGTATGAACTTTTGGAAGCAGATTGCCAGACCTATCTTCTGAGGTGTCTCTAGATAGGTTTGAACCTTTTTGCTAGTACTTAAGAACTTAGAACTTAATGTTTGCACCACTCAGAGACCACTTCTAAGGCTAGAAGATGTTGATATTATTGCTAAGGGCTGTCGAATCGGTTCTGACTCACAGCCACCCTGTACAGGGTTTCCAAGGCTTTTTAAATCTTTGTGGGAACAGAAAGGATTATCTTTCTCCCTCAGAGTGGCTGGTGAGCTCAAACCACTGACTTTGTGGTTTGCAATCCAGTGCTTATCCTATGGAGCCACTCTTTATAAAAAAGCCTCATGACAATTTAATCCTTATTTAAATTTTCCTTTCCCTGAAGGTTTCACATCATCCATACATATAGCTGTGCTCCAGGAGACTAAAACTAAACCCAAACCCACTGCTGCAAAGTTGATTCACTCATAGTGACCCTGCAGGATAGAGTAGAACTGCACCACGGGGTTTCCGTGGTGGAAGTCTCTATGGAAGCAGACTGCCTCATCTTTCTCCCTCACAGTCGCTGGTGAGTTTGAACCACCAACCTCTCAGTTAGCAGTCAAACACTTAACCCAACGAGCTGCCAAGGGTTCCTCGGTAGACTAAAATAGAGAGAACTACCTGGGAGGCTAGAGGTCAATTTTCAGAATTTTCAATCTCCATCTCTAGAGCCCTTACCTGTAAATAGTGATATGGGGAGACAATGGACGGTTTGAACCCATGTTCTTATTCCAGAACCGCTCCATCTCTTCTTTGGCCGTGGTTCCCAAAGGAACAGCACTAAAATAAAACAGAAGATTTCAAAAGGATGAAAAGTAAGCTTGGCTAAAAAATTTCCCTGACGAAAAGTTACCAAAAAAAAAGGTAAACTCAGCTGAACAACCCACTGTATTAGGAAAACATGTTCAGTGACCCCTCCTCATCTTTGTATGTTTTTAAACGTAATTTAGTTTCTTTGTTTCTCTTGTCATGGAGCTAAGTTGAAACCAATTGTTAAAACAGCTATGCACAACTATGTAACTTTAAATTTTATTTATTTTGTTGTTGTTGAGACTATACACAGCAGAGTACATACTAATTCAACAATATCTACAGATACGATTCAGTGACATTGATTATATTCAACCAATCTCATCCACCTTTTCTGAAGTGTACCACCTTCACCACACTACCCCTCCCTTAAGGTTCCTATCTAATCTTTAAATTGATTTTGTCCCTTAAATTCCTTATAGGTAGTTCTTAAAATAGCATAATGATTGGAAGACACTTACACTAGATAAATAAGACTATTTAGTTTTAAGAAAACTTCAGGATATACTTTTTTTTTTTTAAATAAGTTTTTATTGTGAAGTGCATGATCGTTTACATGGGAGAACATCAGCTTTACATTCATCCTTTACTCTCCACTCTAGTTTCAGGACGCACTTTTGATTTAAGGTTTAAAGATTATCTCAGGATAATTACCTAATATCTCAGGATAATTACCTGAGATAATCTTTAAACCTTAAATCAAAATTATCCTAATTATATCAGGAGTTCATTCAGCTTACATGGATCCAGGAAAATCTAGAATTCATGATAATTAAAATTCTGTTCTATAACTCTCCCTTTTGATCAGGATTCTCTTCTATAGAATTTTTTACCAAAATATTCAGTAATGATAACTTGTTGTTGTTGTTGTTGTTATGCGCCTGCACAGGGTTTCCGAGGCAGTAAATCTTTACAGGAGTAAAAAGCCTCACTTAGCACTATCCAATTCTCATGGCAAAGGAGGCAGTTTAAACGTTTTATCATATGCCTATATTAAACATGATTCTATCCCCTCAGATTAATTATAACAGATTTATTTAAGTGTGGAGACTTGGCTATTCAGTCTCAAAGTGTCTCCCCAAAGATTACTTAAAAAAATGACATTATCGTGGAGAAGAATCCAGCAGACATTCAAATGATTAAAGCCAGAAACACTGATAATGGGACAAATGACGTTTGTTATATGTCCCCCGCCCAAGATGATGTACTGGGGATATGACACCACTTACATATTACTCTGGCCAAAAATGCATAATCTAAATTTAATTATTGAAAAACCAAAATTGTGGAACACTCTAAAAAACAGCTGGCCTATATTCTTTTAAATGTCAATGTAATAAAAGACAAATGAAAGCTAAGAAACAGTTCCAAATGACAGATACTAAACAAACATGACAGCTTGTTAAAAGAAACATTCTTTGAAGGTTACCATGGGTGGGAGGGAAAGGAAAGTAATTCACTGACTAGAGGGTAGACACTCATTGACTCAGGTGATTGGGAAGGCAATATACAAGAGGGAAGTTAACAGAAGAATGAAGTCAGGTGAAGACAAAGGGAGGAATCCAAACATTAAAAGGGACCATTATATATACAAACCTGCAACATCCGTGTTCTATGGGTAGAAACATGGATAGATACATAGGCTGAACAAGTATGGGAGGGAGAGTGGAAGTACACTCACAAAAATATAAAAACCCTATACCCAGTCACTCTGAGTTTGAGCCAACTTAACAGCACATAACAACATTTGTATATGGGTACTCACCTTTGTTGCAGACATACCTATGAATGTGGTGGAGCATACAGGGTACAAAATGATGAAAACTCCTTAGGTATTAACAAACACATTGAGGCAAAGAATTCCTGAGGGATCAGGACCATAGTCTCAGCGGACACCATGGTCAATAGGTATAACATAGTCCACAAAGACAATGTTCTACATTCTACTTTGGTGAGTAGCAAATGGGATATGAAAAGCTTGTGAGCAGCTATTGAAGGTGCAACTGTTGGTTTCTCCATGTGAGGAAGAAAGAAGAGTGATGAAATTGAAGAAGCTTGGAGTCAATTAATACAATGGACTAATGGTACACATGTCTTGACGATTCTAAGTCAGAAGATGGTACCTGGATACCACTACCAATTGCTCTGAAAGGAATCACATTAGAAGATTCCAAACGTGGGAGAAAATGTGGAACAAAGCTCAAAAGTATTTAAAAAAACAAAAAAAAGACCAGCTTACTGATCAGAAAGAGCTTGGCGGAACCTGAGACTACATCCCTCGGTCACCCTTCAGGTCTGGAATGGAACTCACCAGTATGGCCCAATTTGCAGTTAAGCAGTAGATACATGTATACGAGGTAGAACACCACTAGTAAGGTATACTTATGGAATGGTCAATAATTCAAGGTCAAAAGGACAAAATTTACCTAAGGCCAATGTTCAGAAGGGTTGGGAAAGAGAGTGGAATAGAAGTAAGAACCATAGGGAGGAAGTGGGATGACTGTTATTACACAGACAGGATTGCAATCATTGAGAACAAAGTATATGAACTGTTGAATGTAGGACTGATGATATGCTCTGTAAGCCTTCACTCAATTCAAAATAAAAAGTTGGGTTTTTTTTTTTTTTTTTAAGTTAATAAGAAACATGACAACTAAAAACAATGTATAATTTTGAATGGGGGAAAGAACATTTCTACAAAGAACATCACTTGGGGGTTCTAGAAAAAGATGGCGGATCAGATGGAAATGTAGTGACGAGCTCTGCCGAGAACAACACAGAAAACAGGACCAAGAAGCCTCAGGAGATGGTCCCAGTACTCTGAACCACATATAAAGGAATATTTAGAAGGTTGGAAGACTTACAGCTGGGGAGTTTGTGGCAGAAGCAAGAAATCCATTGCTTCCTGGTTTGGAGCGCTCAGCTGCTCCAGGAGCCGCCATTTTGTGTGGGGCCAAGCGGGGAAAGGATAAGAGCAGCCACGTATGCCTGACAGAGCCGCAGAGATAGAGGTGTGGACATTCTTTTTTTTTTTCCTTTTTGGTATCTTTTCGTTGGTACCTTACTGTCTGCGTACCTCCATTCTGGTGACTATAGGGGTGCCTGAGCTGGTGGATACTCCAGCCCCACCCTTGGAGGGTTCTACTACGCATATGCATAGATCTCCTCGAAATTTAAAGAGACAGTATCCACTTAAAACCAAAC